AAAAAAAAAGCTACAGTCAGATGTGGTGGTACATGCTTGTAAGCCCAGCACTTGGGAGGCTGAGGCAGAAAGGTCACTCTGAGTTCCAGGCCACCAGGCGCTACCTAACTTGAGTTCAAGGACAACTTGAATTGCACAGTCAAACCCTGTCTCAACTCCCTCCCTCCAAATCCATCAAAAGGAAAGAAAACAACCAAACAGGCTATGAATTATGTAAATGTAAGCAGTGCTCACACTTCTTTCAAATTATAAAGTCTATCATATACATTTTACTGACTATATAAGAACAGACAATGATGTAGTTTCTTGAGAAAGATGGAACACTTTCATAATATGTATCTAGTTCATATATTTAATTTTTCCTTTGTTTAACTTTGCTGGTCATTGAACCTAGGGCTTCATGCATACTAAGCAAGTGCTTTACCACTGAGCCACATCACCTGGCACTTTTAATATTTTCTTTAAAAAACTGTGTGGCATTAATTTAAAACAAAAGTATTGATGTTAATGAAAATTTAACTTGATATCACTGAGGTATATGAGACAAGTATGCACATGAATCTATACATGAACTCTACAAAAGGAAAGACATTTCTGAAAAATAGCCTGAGGTTTGATGAGAGAAGACACTACATCAAATTAGGGCTCCACAGTGCTCACAGGATGATGCGCATCTGCAGAGATGTGGGCATCTTCAGACCAATTATTCATCAGATGAGTAACTTCATTGATATTATTCGTATTATAAAGACTATGGTACAAAATTGAACTGTAATAGGTAGAATGAAATGTGAGGAATTCTTTTTTCAACTTTATGCTTACTTATTTAGCATTCTTTTTCGTTGTTCTTGTTTTTCTTTGGGACAGGGTTTTGCTATGCAGTTCAGGCTGATCTTTGAACTCACCATGTAGCCCAACCTGGCCTTGAACTCACAGCAATTTCTCCTGCCTCACCCTCCCACGTGCTGAGATTACAGGTATCTGCCACGATGCCCAGCGGCTTTCAGTTTTAAGCCTTCTTTAACTAGTTTTAAGAAAACTGCTCCCCAGGGAACTTCTCAGGTATGAGATTACAAACAAAAGTTTTCCTTTGTTGGGGAGAAACTGAACAGCTCTGATTTAGAATAAAACCGACCATGAAACATTTTGCCATTGTACTTCCAGCTCAACAGCAAGAGCTTTCGAACACAAAATGGTAATGGAACCTCAGAAAAGCAAACTCCTAACAGTATACAGCATAAAATTTCATAGAAATTTTCCTTAGTGAGTGGTGCTGAGAGCTTAAGGAAAAAAATAAGATTTTCATTTTAATTTGTACAAATTTATGAACAGAGTTGAAGCCACATATCTGTTGCTTTTACTTGCTATAGACACTGTGTCGACTAAAAAGATAGCCGAGAGCAGCCCAGCCTCCAAAGCAGTCTACATTGCTTTCCTGGTAATGCTGTTCCGCCAGCCCACACAAGGCTATGGCAGACATTGGGATCTTCCTGTTTCACATAATTTTAGCTTCTATTACTATTATTATTATTATTATTATTATTATTATTATTATTATTATTATTATTATTTAGTACAGAGTTTATAGGGTCTCACTACACAGATTGGACTCCTAGTGATCCTCCTGTTTTCAGCCTCCCAAGTGCTAGGATTATAGGTATGCACCACCACACCCAGTCTCAGTTGTGGTCTCAGCGTTCCCCAGGGGCAGGGTTTCCAAGGCATACTGGGAGTCAAACCCCTGTCCCCGAGCTTGCCTGAGTAGGCATTTTAGTCCGCGGAGCTATCTGGCTGACCCTTAATTTTTTATTTTCTTTTATTTTTATTATTATAGTTTCTTATGAAAAAATATGCTTATACAAATCTACTGCTCTTTTAGTATTCAAGGTCAGTGATACTGCAACTGAGTAGTCAACCCTAAAAGTTGATAAATACAGAAAAAGAGAAAAAAGTAAACATTAAATCCAAACAAAACAGAAAATACAGGGTATTACTTTTTTCTAAAATATGTAAAATGTGAAAACACAAACATTATTATAATGGCCTGATCTCATTGCAATTTAGCATTCTATAAAATGATAAAGTTTACTGACAGCTCTAACCCTGAAGGGTATCGACTGGAAAGTCAGCAGGTTCTCAGGGCACTGTGAAATGGAGTGTCAAGGTTCTGTCATCTTGTGATTTTAAGCACTGAAAGATTCCATTTTCTTTTGAAAAGTAAAGCTGTTTAACTTTAAATATTCAATACTGTATTTATCTGTACTGCAAATTAAAGATGTCTTTTAATCATAAAATATATTCTAAAAATCCTGAAAAAGTGGGCTCAAAAACAGGAGTTGCCTCCTCACCAACTATATTGATCTCTCAGAACCCAGGCCTCAATGCAAGATCAAAGCGCTTTCTTTTTACTAGGTGCTTTTATATTTTTTGATCAAAATCTATATTCATTTTTCATGTTAATTTTTTTCTTCTATATGATTTTTCAAGTATTTTTACAGGTCATAGGCCACAGTGATTTGAAGGTGTTCAAGTGGAAGAAGCTGATGTTGTGAGACACGCAGCTAGGAACACTGAGACCATGAATACAAAACAACTGGATAAAAATATGTATGGCTTCTTTTGCAGATCTGCAGAGTACCAAGGCTCCTAAATGAAAGCTGGCTAACTCCACAACACACATCTGAGTTAGAGAAAAGAATGGGGTAAGGGACGATTGCCCGACGGACTGTGTACGGATGAGAAGATGCAGGGAGAAGACACCCCCATATGTTAAGAAGTGCTACTGGTGTGTTTTACCTCATCTAGTACAGAAACTAGATGTGATTTACTTTCATACAAAAGCAATCTCTTCCTAAAACACTGGTGTGAGAGGTATGGGGAGGTGCCCTAGAAAGGAAAAAAAATTTATAAGCTGTTTCCATAAAAATTAGCTGTAATGCCTTCAGGATTAATAAAAATATATGGAAATAGAGTAAAAATTTCACAATGTACTGCAGACCTCCAAGTACGTATCAATCAAATACTCTACACGAGAACTCCAGGAAGATGGTACATTGAATAGTCAACAGCAAAATGTTCAGCAAAGCCATGCTAACAATACTGCAGCATCTTGAAAAGCATGGATGAAGTGTGGTTTCCCAAATAAACATAAACAACAAAGAAAAGAAGAAAAACACTGATGTCATGAGTAAATCTGAGGAGAAACCAAAACTGTCACTGAGGGGTTGTGCGGATGAGAAAGCAGTATCATTCACTGTCCAAGACCTTACTTGCTGGTACAGTTGTGGTCTTAGCGCCGAGTTCTCAATCATTGTGTGAACCATGGTGATAATAGGTTCATTTTCTTTCATCTATTTCAAATCAGGAGGAGCATACAGCAAACATCAGTTTACAGCATAGCTAGATTTGAAAGACGACACTGTAAATATATCCTCTACTTTAACACCTTCCTAACAGTGCAGTTGTTCATATTTTACCCCACGGTTGCACAGATTTAACTTTTATATACAAATGAAACAAGTCTTAAATATTGTAACATACACTGATGCAAGCAGATTTTACTTTCGAACTATGATAGTCAATGGATATTGCTACACACAAGATAAAGCATCAAAATTCAAAGGACAATCTAAAAAGCAATGACTTATGAACTTGGAGAAAAATGGCATCATTTACTCAATAATAAAGCTGAAAAGATATCTGGTTCTTTATAAGGTTAACCAGAAAAAACTTAATTCTTTATAGATACTGAAATTTTTATATGACTCAACATATCGTCATTTAGATAATCAACATTTCATTAAAATTAATACTGATGGATACTTACATACTCTTTTGGATTTCAGACAGTTTAATACCATATACAAAATTATTTAAGGACATACAAATTAAATCTTGTTCAGTAAGACTTAGTAAATCCCTTTCGCTCCTAAAAAGCAGGCTCATACCATGTTTCACATTTCCAGCTATGTTATACTTATTACTGCCTCCAGAAAAGTAATGTTACTTGAGCAGGCTCTGTACTTGAGAAACCATTCAAGACAGTCAATGTGACTACAGCAATTGGTCAAGAACATTTTTTAGTATTTGTAAACAGAAAGGTCTGGTACTTGTGTTTTGTGAGATTTAGGGCTACCCCATTTTCACCTTACATAAGATAAGCATTTCCATCATGGTTGACCAACGCAACCTTACGGATTTAGTTACCTTTGTAGGACTTAAGTAGCCTTAATAAATGGCATAAAATAAGAAAAAAGTAAATATTGAAAATTGTATTTTGAGACAATTTTATTTTTACCTAGTTACTGATGCGTGCAATAAAATTTGGTTGTCAAATAAGAAACCTCTGCAATAGTATGTTTGTAACCACTGGCACAACTGAGAGAGACTCTCCCCTAGTGTCCTGTTTGGGGTCAGTCTCTCCGTTCTCTCCCAGTAGACACCAGCTGGATTTCTATAGCTACCAGTTATATTTACCTGCTGGACACATTAATGAAATAAATCTTAAGATACTTGGAATCACACATCAAGTTAAACTGAAGATTCTTCCAAATCAGTGGTATTACTTAGTAGAACAGAATGAAACTTAGGCAATGCTGGAAAATAATTTAGACAATTACAGAATAAATTTTTCTTTAGGAGGAAAAATTTTTTATTATAGAAATTGACTATGTCTATTACAGAGTCCCCTTTATGTCTTCTAAGGGAATGCTATTTTATCATAATGAAATGTAGATCTTGGAATAGAAAACAGCTGTTTTATTTATCGCATTGGCACACAAGTAATACAAGGTGCTAAATCTGTATCCAGTTTTAGTATTATTCTCATTATCAAAGCAACTTCTCCTTTAACTATTGCCTGACTCAGAGAGGTTGACTGTGTGTGTGTGTGTGTGTGTGTGCGCGCGTGCACGCGCACAAGCGTGTGCATACCCACGATGGCGGGGGAAATATGAGTGCCTCAGCTCTGATGGAGCCTGACGTCACTCAGACAGAAGGGATCAAGGTCAAGCTGACACTGCCCTCCGTGCCTTGGGGATGTGGCGCGAGCCCGCCTGTGCATGAGCACAGGTGTAGCCGTGGCCCCCACATTCGGGGGAAACCTGGGGTGGGGGTTGACTATGCACGTGCTGTACAAACAAGGACTTTGTAAGTGCGATTTCAAATGCCTGTTTAACTTACATATGAAAAATCATTACACACTAGTCCCTGAGAGGGATCTTTGCAAGAAAAACTGATTCAATATGGAACAAACAGAAGTAAAAATAACATTTAAACTGTAAAACCTATAGGGCGCCTCAAAGATTGCTGCTAGAGTTGATTACTTTTCATTATGGAAACTTCAAACATATGTTAAATTTAATATTAAAATCAGAAGGCATCTTGAAGCTGACAAAGCAGTATAAAAAGGAAACGAAAGCTGTTAGTTTGAATTGTGGCACTGAAAGAGATTTGTATTCTTTCTTTATATTTTTTTACATTTCTTACATTTGCTATAATGATCTGATGCTGCCTTTCTAATAAAGCTATTAAGAGTCACAGATACAAACATAAGCACAAGGCTAGGGTGGTGGTGTACAACTCTAATTCTAGCTCTCCGGAGGCTGTGGCTGAGGATCTCTGTGGGGTGACCAGTCTCAAAAAACCAAAATCCAAACAGGGTGCTGTAGCACACACCTGTCATTCCAGCACTCAGGAGGCTGCAGCAGGAGGACTGAGGTCAGCTTGAGCTACAGAGTGAGACCCTGTCTCAAAAAACCAACAAACATAAAGCCAAAAGCCAGCCAACCAAACGCTGACAACAATAGAACTGAAACCAAAGGCAAAAATATGAATAAGAAAAACTCAATTAAAAGTACAACCATAAATATCTTCCGGTGAGCCAGATACATCATAGAAATTCCATTACAAATTCACATCTCCATACCATGTTTAACGCAGAGTCCAAGACACCAGCTGCTGTCTTCTGCTGCAGCGCATTTCCATTTCAGGGCTCTGATCTACACTGCATTTTTACTTCCTCTGTGCTGGGTTTATACCAGCATTTTACCTGAAGAAATGTTAGCCAACTTAAGAAAAGCATGCCACCAATGCATTTGTAAATACACATGGCTATCTTGTCGTAGCTCTCCTTATTCCTGGATGCTTCTGAAATAAAGTTCAAGTTTATTTTGACCAACAGTCCTTAACCCACACTGTAATCACTTGTGCAGATTACATTTAAAAGACTATAGACATTCTGATTCTCAGAGAATTCTAATGTGCAACTCGGGAACCTTTGATGTAGATATTAATAATTAAATCATCAATGCTGATCTCAAGATCCTTTTGGCCGAAACAACCAGGATAGGGGCTGGGGATATAGCTCAGCGGTATACGTGCCTGCCTGGTGAGCGCAAGGTCCTGAGTTCAATCCCTGGTACCAAAAAAAAAAAAAAAAAACCCCAACCCAAAACAAAACAGAAGACAGTCTCAAGGTCTTAGAGTTCAACAAATGCACTCTGCTACCAGTAGGAATTTTTAATTCTCACTCTCCTTGGGAACCCACTTCACTGATGCTGCAGATGAGCTATGGCTCTTTATGGAAAAGTGAAAGCAGGGCAGTCACTTCAGAGTCCCCTCAGGCTCCCCACGGACACACAGTAACCTCTGGGTGACCAGAGAGTGGGTTGTAGGAAGGACAAGGGCAGCAAGGGTCTTAGATAGACCAAGCCTAGAAATTTTACACCAGTGACACAAGTGTGCTCATGCCCTGCCAGCGGAGAAACACCTGCTCAGGCTCTGTCTTGTAACTGAGGCCCCTTGAGTCAGAATTCCAAGCCGACAGCTTTCCTGTATTCTTGAGAAGGCAAATCTCTGGCAGGTTCCTGTGGGCCCTGCTGGGCTTTTGTTCTCTGCTGATAACTAATGAGAAGACCATTTCTGTGCTGTTCTTTTCTTTACATGGAAAACAGACTTTCCCATAATGACATCTTAGGAAAAGCTTTTTTTTTTTTTTTAAAGTTAGGAATCTGCCTTAACAATAGGAAAAAGAAAACACACCCTAATCACTGATGCCTCCATTTCTCAAGAATGTCCTCCTGTGTCCAGATCAATATACTTTTAAGATGTGTGACAAAGTTAAAGGGCTAAAGAATTTGACATGACTGGGGGAGGCTTGGGGAATGCAGGATCTTTAGAAATGGGGCATTTAGACAACAACAATGCCCGAGCCTCCGCTCTAGGCCTGGGCATATCTGAAAGCCGAGGACCTGAGATTGAAGGGTATGACTACCTATTGAAACCACTCTTTGTTTAACAGGAGGCAGAGAAATCTGAAGTGACTTCTGTAATAGAAGAATGCAAATAAGTCTCTTTCCAACTGAAGGGGTGGCCACAGTACTAAGATTATTGTGGAAGTTTTAAAGAAATCTGAATTGTTCATGCTCTATGTTTTTCCTAAAAATAAAACATCTGAGAAATTTTATTGCTGTTATATAATCAGAAGACTCAATGATGCTTTAAAAGATGGACTATGTAACAGTTCCCCTTTTCTTCAGGTAGTAAATTATGTCCCCGTGGTATACTCTGAAGGCACTCTGAAGGTAGGGGCTCATGTTTTTCTAGATAATTTCCTTAAAGTTGGCGTGCTGCTGTGTACATTTCACAGATCTGATTTTTACATCAGTGGTTTAATCTGTTTTCCTTGTGTAATGGCCCTGTTAACTTCAAGTAATATATTATCTGATGATATTACCAGGTTTATTCCTACCATCCATAGGTAGGAAGAAATACCAAAAGAACTCAAACGCTGTGTGTTTCAAATAGTCATATTTTCCTCTTGCAAGTATTTTAATGATAGATTACAGTCCACCATTCTTAAAGGACAAAAAATTCTTAAAGTGAAAATCTTACGTATCTATTATTAAAAATATATTTGTTTTTGCCTGGAGTAAATCTATAGTATATTTGAGCTTCAAATCAAAATAATTTTATAGATACAAAGATCTGGAATTTATAAATAGCAAATGTGTGTTTTTTTTTTTTTTTAACTACAGGTGATTTTTTTTAAAAAGTGGTTTTATTTATTTATTTATTTATTTATTTATTTATTGTGTGTGTGTGGCCTGCTCAGCCCACCAGGGGGTGGGGCTGGCTGGCATGTGGTGCTGGGGGATCGAACCGCGGTCCCTGTGCTTTGCCAAGCGTGTTCCAAGTAGGTGCTTTAGACCACTGAGCCATCTCTCCAGCCCAGCAAATGTGTTCTTATAGGTAAGAAATGGCACCAAGTAGCTAAATTCCTACCGCTAAGTCAGAGATTTACTGGCTGATGCTTTAACTACACCGCGCAACCTTAGGTCAACCCTGTAGA